ACCGCGAGACTAGGTAGTGTTGGAGCTATCTCTCTCGGGTTTTCAAGTGATGAAATAACAACCATCTTCTCTAGCACAGATGTTTTGGGTGCAAGCTTGTACATGGCAACCCTTGGTGATGACAAGGTACTAATAGATGATATAAAAGACGCCGACATTACAATTATGAATGGCAAAGCAGCTTTGGTGCAAGCTAGCAACAAAGCTAATCTTGGTGAAATTTCATGCAAATCTATCGACAATGGTGTTACAAATGTTAGTGGTACGTCCATAGACATTGGAGGAGCCAATTTCATTTTCTATTGCTCGTCGATTGATGTTGCAAGGGTGCCAATGGTACGTGTTCTTGTCGTTTCACAATATATGTAAGATACATTGTCAATATTACATATACATAGTATTGTGAAATTTTCACTAATGATATGTGTAAAATATGATATTAAAAATACAAAATATTTTTGTGCATGTATATAATAGCCTTGGTTTATTTTCTTGTAGGTATATGTATTGGCTTATCCAAGCAATGGATTAATTAGCATTGTACACAATCACACGAAGGTGGAACTAATACTTCAAATTATCATGGTGGTTGACATGGTAATTTATGTGTTCGCGTTTGTAACTTTGATTGTTAGAGCGGCTAGGAGGGAAGTGCACTTGTGTGCAGCGTACATGAGGGAAATGGAGAAAACAACACAAGCTGAGAGAAAGAGCATAAAGCAAAGCTTGGCCTTTGCGAGTGCTAATCATGATGTTCGCGGCTATTTAGCTTGCATTAAGGGCTTGACCGAACTCTCTGCTGCTGATCTTCCTCCCTCTTCTGAAGTTGCTTCTAGCTTGAGGAAGATAGATACTTGTGCTGAGGACCTTTTAGGTAATATAAGCATAATATATACACACATTTTTTGTTCATATATAACAACTAATTCATCTTTTGTGTTTCTTTCTTGTTGAAATATGCAGCATTAGTGAATTCCATCCTAGATTTCAGCAAGATAGAAGCAGGGAAAATGCAATTGGAGGAGAATGAATTCAACTTAGCACAACTAATTGAAGACGTAGCTGATTTACACCACCCGGTTGCAATGAAAAAGGGAGTAGAGGTGATCCTAGACCCTAGTGATGGTTCCATCTTCAGGTACTCCCAGGTAAGAGGTGATCGCGGCAAGCTCAAGCAGATCCTTGGCAACTTGCTAAGCAATGCTGTCAAGTTCACTTCACAAGGGAACATTTGCATCACATGTCATTCAAAGAAACCAAGCTTTGAGAACTCTATCATTGCCTCAAACAGGAACAACTTGTTAAACAGGTTGTCGAGCTTCTTCCATAAGAATAAGCGTGCATATAATGATCTCGAAGACATGAAGACAATCAAGCAAGATCCAAACTGTATGGAGTTTGAGTTCCAAGTGGAAGATACAGGTCCCGGGATCCCTAAGGAGAAGCGCCATTTGATCTTTGAGAACTTTGTTCAAGTCAAAGAAAACTCTGCTGAGCAAGTTGGCACTGGTTTGGGTCTAGGCATTGTCCAATCTTTGGTATGTATGTTTAACACTAAAATTGAAGTTAATTGATTTGGCAATAAGTTACTGATATTTTCATGCATCCAATCAACAATTAACTTGTAATTTTTTTATTAAAATTCAGTGTTTGATGCAACACTAACGAGGTGTATGAAAATATTTTGCAGGTTAGATTGATGGGAGGAGACATAGAAATTGTGAACAAAGCCAACGGTGAGCAAGGGACATGCTTCAAGTTCAACATCTTTTTAATAGTACAAGACGAATGTTTGGATAACCCAAGGCAAGAATTGACTGAGCATAGGGAGATCAATTCGGGCTCAGGGTTAAGCACGTGTGTTCGTAGTCCTAGAGGTGATAAGTCTCTAGTGATTCTCTTAATCAAGAATGATGCGCGGAGAAGAATGGTCCATAGATACATGGAGAGCCTCGGAGTAAACTTGAAGGTCCTAAGCCATGGGAAGCAACTCTCTCCGAATCTTAAGAAGATCAAATCTATGCTCATTGAGCCTCAATATAACAACTCCTCGTCAGGGAGGTCAGACACGAGCCCTCCTCGAGGAGCTTGCTTGAGTAGCAACTCTGAACGCAGTGGTAGAGGTTGGTCCAAACTCAATCCTCTTAGTACAATGGATGATACCAATGAAGTACTCCCGGTGTACAAAAGGTCCACTATTCGAGGGTCAGTGAACTGCATACTACTTGTAATAGATTGCAATGTAGGAGATAATTTTCAGAAAATGCAGAGATCGGTATCTGAGTTTAGAAAGGACCTTTACATGACCTGCATCAAGGTAGTTTGGCTCGATAGGCCTGACACTCGTAGAGCTCACTTCCAAGGTTTGCAAGATGAGAGTCTCCCTTTGACAGATCTTATCATATCGGAGCCTCTTCATGGATCACGCTTATTAAGGATTATAAGGCTTCTCCCTGAGTTTGGGGGAGATTCTATAAGATCTCCTTCTTATGGGAGATCAAAGAGGTCCAACATTGCAATTCTAAGCAACACACATTCGAATACTGAAGAAGATATTGGTGAGTCCAGTAGTGGGGAGATTAAGCTAGCTAGGAAAAGGCGAAGCTTGAAATTTACTACTTGTAGGGATAACTTTGCTAATGAGCAAGATATCCCTCAAGTTCTAAGGAGCTCTAGCAGCGAGAAGTCTTCATCGATGACTAAAACTACTCAAACAGGAGAAATACAAGAAGTTCCAAGGTAATGTAATGATGTATATTCACATTTCAAGTTGGTGTTTGATGAGAAAATGTTTTCAATTTCATATTTTTGTGTTAACAGCAATGTAGACATCCAGAAATCTCCCTTGGAGGGGAAAAAAATTCTGATCGTTGAAGATCATCTCTTACAACGAAAGCTCGCTGAAACAAGTGTTAAGCGTTTAGGTGCCGAAACTCAGACATGTGGAAATGGCGAAGAAGCTCTTGAGGTGGTCTGCAAAGCATTGAGCGACCAACCAAGTGCAAAACCCCTCAAATTTCCATATGACTTTATAATCATGGACTGTCAGGTGAGCTACACGTATGTATATTTTGTTCACCTTATAACTAACAGTAAATCATAGTGATGATTAACTTGAGGTATCTTGTGTTTAATATATCACAGATGCCAGTTATGGATGGTTTTGAAGCAACACAAAAAATCCGCGAAGAAGAGAAGAAGTATGGACTACACATTCCGATTATCGCGCTGTCGGCTCATGAGGTGGATGGAGAAGAAGGCAGGAAGATTGCTGAGGCAGGAATGGATTTCCACCTGACAAAGCCACTCCGTGGTGAAGAACTGCTAAAAGTAGTACAGCATCTGTTAATATAAGAGATTTGTATAGATTATACATGTACTTTAATTATGTATAATTATATAGGTCCTTATATATGTGCCTGCAAAATCTGGATTTTTTGCATTGTGCAGGTACTTGGGTTTTGTAATCTGCATGGATTATATAAATATATGCAAGCGTTTTAAAAATCATATATTAAGTACGTAGTACTTCATATTGATAAACATTTAAAGTGGAAGGAGTATTTATGTTATGTTTATTTTTCTTTTAAGATTCCAAATGAGAGCTAATAAAAAAAAAATTAAGACTTTTCTTCGAATTTTTAATACACCACTTCTAGAAATTGTATTCATTGTATTGACTAATAAGTGGCAACAAAACATTCAAAGAAAAATCTTAAAATCATCAGCCTTCATTTATGAATGCCATTTTCCTCAAAGACGGAAAAAGAAGTTCACAAGAAAAGAGCATCTCTAATTACTGTAGTTAGGGATTTGGTAGTAATTTAGAAAAAATTTATAGCTACTCGCTTGATTATTGGAGCTAAAAAATGAAATTAGCTTGACCAAGCTATATTGCTTGAGAAAAACCTTGCCAAAAAGAGAGGTTAATATATTAATAAAGTTAAATTTAAAACTCTAATTAAGAAATTAAAGCTCTTTTAAAACATAAGTTAGTAGCTAAGACACAAACTAGCTATAAAAGAAATTAGTTTAAAATTTTTTGTCTTAACAAGCTAATTTGCTAATTAGCTTACCGTTGGATTACGAAAGTATATTGAATCTTTACGGTATTAGTATATTACCCTTTGTACCTCTTTAAACATCAACACATATCTTAAAAAATACAAGTATTAAATTTGAATAGATATTAGATTCTCAAAGAATGCTTGTGTAGTAGGGGAAGTGGTTTTGGTGCTTCTTATAGAGCCATGCTCCTATGGCACATAGTGATTTTGAGTAGTTCTTGGAGTAATAGCTAGGATGTGTTAACATGTTCCTCATTCTAGTCATTGTTCTTTATATTTTGTAACATTTAGAGTTTCATGCTTGTCAAAGCACAAGTTTAGCCATTAATATCATTAATTTTATAATTATAAAAAGTTATTGTAAAGTATGTATATCTTGAAGGTTCTAACAAGACCCTATATGATTATGATTTTTCTTAATTAATATTCAAATTTTAATAGTATAAAAACTTAAATGTTGCAATAAAAAAGAACGGAAGATTGAAAGGATTAACGTTTGTGCTAACTTGAATGTAATTAATGATAATCAACAATAACGAAGAGCGAAAACAAGAAAGAGTTTACTGTGGGAACCTGAGTGCCAGGAGAAAGATTGTGTAGCCATTTAGGTTGTGTTATAATTCATATATAGGTTATAAAACCTTGGATTACATGCAATAATAGTTCATACGATATTGGATTACATGCAATATTTTCTTTGTAATACTATAACTCTTATGACTTCTGTATGTGTAAGAGATTATTTATTGATGCTTTCAAAGATGTTTGGAATACATTTAAACAAGAAGATGTAGGCTTAGTTCTCTTACCTAAGTATTTGACTTTATACAGATGTAAAAATAAACTGTGTACATGGACTAGATGTACTGAAGTTCTTTCTGATTGTAAGTGACAATGTGCTTTGTGTGACCTTATCTTACTTTTTCTTCAGTGCCAACAATCATCATTGCCCACGAGTTTTATGACGCTTTACCTATTCATCAGTTTCAGGTTGGTTTTGTTATTTCCTGGTTTGTTGTGGTTCTGTTGTGGTGGATGGCTGAAAGTCCATGGGTCTTTTGAGGATGTAACATTAGGTATGCTTACAGTTATCATGTGCTATTGCGTCAAGTCTAACTTATGAATGATGGTTAAAAATCAAATATATGTCTCAAGAGGCTAGAGGTGTTAAATGCACTTCTGATATTGTAACATACGATTCATTTAAAGACCCGATATAATTTTATTATTATGGGCAAATCCAAAATCTTTGTAGATAGAGCTAATCAGTAGTTCCCAACCTTGGGGCGAATTAAATCCGATACATTGATTACTAAAAAGAATAGAAAAAGCTTTTATTGTGTTGCTTAAGTTGTATAGGAATTCCTGAACCCAAGAGCTAAGAAGAATGAATTCTTTATTTCCCAAAATGAAATAACTGTCTAGAACAGGGAAACAGATTAAATTTGTCGAGAAGTGCAAAATTAAGCTTTCAAATCTGGTGTAATATGGTATTATGGTAAGTTATTAACCAATCAAAATTTAGCTGTTATGAGGAAACATGGCTGAGAAGACTCATCTCTTTTGTTTTTGAAGAAGTATGCATGCTGCAGCTGTTAGGAAATTTGTCTGGCATGATTTTCATTACCTTTCTGTCACTTGTGCATAGAGGTGGCCAGTGGGCCGGGTTGGACCCAGCCCACCCTAACTCGCACGGCTGGTGGGTCACGTGGGTCCGACCCGGTTTCAATCCGGCACAGCCCGGCACAGCTCGGATTTAATCCGGGTTGTGTCGTGGGTCCAAAATTTTCGACACAACCCATTTCAACCCAGCTCAGTTTAACCCGTTTGATTCGACCCAAATCGCACAACCCGTTTTGACTCATTTAATTCGACACACCTAGCCCGTGAACCCACCTAACCCGACCCACCTGGCACAACCCAGCCCGCACGGCCCACCCGCACGAATGACCCACCCAACCCGCACGAGCCAACCCACCTAACCCGCACGCATGACCCACCCAACCCGCACGGCCGGCACAACCCGCACGGCCCGCACAACCCGCACGGCCCGCATAGCCCGCACAATTCGCACGACCCGCACGGCCCGCACGGCCTAACATCCATTTTAAAAAAAAAACGGCTAGTTTTTTGTATCTAACGGCTAGTTTTTTGTATCTAACGGCTAGTTTTTTAAGTGTATGATCATCCATTCTATTTTTCCTATAAATACCAATTCCATTTCACTCAAATTTCCACACAAATTCAAGCTTTCTTTCTCTCTTACTTAAAAATTCTTATTGTTCTCAAATTCTCAAGTGTTATATAGAGTTATATTTTTGTTAAAAAAAATCTCCTTAATATTATTATTAGTATTCTTAAGATTCTAAAAAAAAAAGTTCTTCTCCATATTATAATTAGTAATCATACAAAAAAAAATGAGCTCAAGAGGAGGAATGGGAAGGAGTCAAAGTGGTGGTCGAAGTGGTAGCCAAAGGAGTGGTGGTGCAAATTTTTCGTATGAAATTAATACGGAAAATTTAAACCAATTTGTCAATGAATATGGAGATTATGGTTTAGGAGATAGGCAAAATATTCAAACGTCTCCACCACAACATTTCTCCCACGAGTCCCACCAATCATCAAGTTCAACTATGCCACCTCCATCGCAACCAACATCTCAACCTTCATCTCAAGGTAATTTCTAATTAAATTTTTATTGTTATGAATATTTAAAAAAACTATTATTAATGATTATAAAGTTAGTTTAGTTTCCAATTTTCTATGATTTACAATTAGTTAATTACCATGAAAAATGCGTTTAAATAAGTATAATTAAAATATTTAAAATTTAAAAGCTTATTTTCATGAATAGCATTTAAAAATTAATTTTAATAATTTGATTTATGAAAGGTGGTGGCGGTGAAAGTAGAGGTCGAGCACATTTTTCTTGGGTGTGGAAACATTTTGAACGAGTTGAGGTCACACCCCCGGGATGGCAACCTGGTCAACCAAAGAGGTTCACGTGTACATGCCTAGTTTGCAAGGCGCTAGGTGCAAATGTCAAGTCATATAATTGGAAAACGGGAGATGGAACCGGAACCTTGAGTCGGCATTTGCAAAATAAACACGACTTGTTCGAAAACGGCCCCCGTCCTTCGGGGGGTGGCGTCCAAACACAATTGGGTGGATACATGAACCAACCCGGCGGAGGTACACCTTTCATTTATAATAAAGATAGAATGATTGATGAAATGAGTACTTTAGTTATTGCTAATGAATACCCTTTTAGTTACGGTGAAAATGCAAACGTTGAGCATTTTAATAAAGTTGCATTACAACCTGCATTTACTCGTGTCCCCCGAAATACCCTAAGACGTTATACACAAACTTCTTATTATAAGTATAGGAGTGGTTTGATTGAATTATTTCGTACTTTTGATGGTCGTGTTAGTTTTACAAGTGATACATGGACTTCTAGTTTTGGCGAACCTTTTCTTTGCATTACTGCTCATTGGGTGGATGATGATTGGTTTATTCAAAAACGTATACTATGTTTTCAAGCTATGGAAGAAAGGCATACCGGTTTTAACATCAAAGTTCGTATTTTGGATTGTTTAAAAGAATTTCACTTGAATAATAAAGTTTTTTCTTTGTCTCTTGATAATGCAACTGCAAACACAAAGTGTATTGACTATTTGAAAAATGACTCCGAGTTGAATTTGTTGTTGGGTGGTAGTCTCTTGCATGTTAGATGTTGTGCTCATATTTTGAATTTGTCTGTTCAAGAGGGTCTCGCTGAGTTGCAACCATTGCTAAACCCAATTAGAACAGTTATAAAATGGATTAGGATTACTCAGTCAGTTAGAAGAAAGTACATAGCTATGTGTAAAGAGAGAGGTCTTAAGAAAAGACAATGGTCTATTGATACCCCTACCCGTTGGAATTCTACTTTCAAGTTGTTGAGTGATGCTATAAAGTATCGTGATATTTTGACCCAACTTTACAATGAGACTCGTGTTGATCCTACTGAGTTAATAACCGAAAGTCATTGGACTAATGCTTCTTTTGTTCGTGATGTTTTAAATGCTTTTGATAGTGCAACTCATATTTTCTCTTATATTTATGAGCCTAACGTTCATTTAGTCATAATTGAGTGTGTTAAAGTTGTTCACACCATCGAAGAGCATATGAAGATTGATGGACTTCGTCCCGTTCTTGATAGCATGAAACGTAAGTGGCATACTTATTTTAGTGAATTTCCAATCATTTATGGAATTGCTGCTATTCTTGACCCCGGTGTCAAAGCTGAAGGTTTGGAAAATCTTTTAGAATTTTATTATACAAGTTTAAGTATCGATTATGATGTTAGTGAATATATTAACAAATGCAAATCTGTTTTGGGAGACCTTTATGATCATTATGCATCTATTTATGGTTTTGATTTGGCAACACCAACTACTACTAGCACTTCCGATTCTAGATTTGGTTTTCTTGATAAAGTTATGAAAAAAAAACACAAAGCATCTACATCATTCTCATCATCATCTTCTTCAACACTTGCTATTAATGATTATTTGTCATATCAACATGAGACCAACAACAACTTTCAAATTATAAAATGGTGGCAAGAACATAAAAAAAGTTTTCCTATATTGGCGAGAATTGCAAAAGATATACTTGCAGTTCCCGCTTCATCTGTTGCTTCCGAGTCTGCTTTTAGTGCAGGTAGAAGAGTGTTAGATGAAAAAAGATCTCGCTTAACTCCGGAAAGCATTCAAATTTGTGTTTGTAAGAAAGATTGGGATCAAGCTGAAAGAAGAACTCAAGGTTTAAAGGAAGACGAAGACGATGAAGATGATCCTGTGATGATATTGGAGTCGTCAACGGATGATGCAGCTTCCGGGGATGATGATGCAACAAACATGGGTGGCTAGAAAAGTCTAAATCAGGTACGCTAAGAACTACGTGGGCTTTGATTCTTTCGGGATACGTAGGCAACTTATTTTTCGAAAATTACAATTTAATTGCAAAATTAAATTTTAGTTTTCTAAAGATAGGTCCAAGCCCCCCCCCCAAATTTCAAAAGAAGTACAATATAAGAACTACGCTGGCTTTGATTCCTTATTTTATAATATAAGGATACGTAGACATCTTAATTAAGAGCAAGCCATCAAATTGTTAATTTTGTAAAAATTAAAACACCACACAACCCACCCGACCCTAACCCACGAACCCACCCGACCCTAACCCACAAACCCACCCGACCCTAACCCACCTAACCCACAAACCCACCCGACCCTAACCCACTAACCCACCCGACCCTAACCCACCTAACCCACAAACCCACCCGACCCTAACCCACTAACCCACCCTTCGACCCACCCTAACTCACTAACCCACCTTGACCCGTCTAACCCACGAACCTAGCTCGACCCACCCATGACCCGTCTAACCCACAAACCCAGCTCGACCCACCCACGATCCGTCTAACCCACAAACCCAGCTCGACCCACCCACGACTCGTCTAACCCACGAACCTAACCCTGGTGTGTCCAACTTCTCCGACCCAACCCACGACCCGGCCCACCCTACCCTACGTGTGTCGTGCCGTGTGTCATGAAACCCCAACCCGCGACCCACCTAACCCTAACCCAGCTCGCACGACTCGCACGGTGGACACCTCTACTTGTGCAGTATGATTGACATTCTTCAAGCTGTTCTTGCTATCTCACCTTTTTTACTATTCTGAACCATCTGCAATTAGATATTGCTATAAGCAATTGTTTTTATTTAATTTTGGGCAAATTCTATTCACATTTCTCGTTTAATGTTGAGTTCATCTGCAGAGGGCTTCTCGTGGTTGGTGTGAGAAAATGGTTGACATAGAAGAAGATTCAGCGTAAGACTTCCAGATTTTTTGATACTACCAAATGCTTTAGCATTTTTTGAAATTTTAGTTATATGTTGCTCTGTGCATTATTGTTCTTTAGGTTTCGCTTTGTTCTCTCGCCTGCGCCTACACCTGCAACTGTTTTTCTTGCAAAGCGCTGCAAGTGGGCTGTGAAAGAGGAAGTAGACAAGCTTAATCAAATTGAGATTTGCCCACAGGCAATGTAGCTGACTGAATCCATTTTTAAAAGAATAAGTTCTGATGGCGGTGGAGCACTTATCATAGACTATGGTCTGAATGGAATAGTTTCTGATAGTCTTCAGGTGCTGATCTCTGTAGCCATAGTATTATCTAACTGATTTCTTATCGGTTCTTAGCCATGTATGATGACCACATTTCATTCTTTGTGCGTCTTTACTTCTTTTAGTTTGATGACCAGTACATTAAGATCTACTTCGTATAAACCTTTATTGTCAACAAGAATCAAGGCATTCCTATTCCGTTTCAATGAAGCGGAAATGACACACATAGTGAAATAGTATAGAGATCCGAAGTGATTGGACTTTCAAGTAGGCTGCATTATATTTTTTTTCTCCGTGATGCACATTCAGATAACGAGTTTGATTCAACCAGCATTCATAACTTTATCGTTTTTGAGCCGCCTTTCCTAATTGTACAATTTTATTCATGCAAAACTGAGATCGAAATTGTGAAAAATAAAGGTTGAGAAAATCTTCTAATTGTTCGTTATCAGAACAATGTTGAGACATTGTTACGTGTTACTTCTACAATTGTGAATGAGGTTCTGTGGAACTTCAAAAATCAAAAGAATGTTAAAGTGATATCTAATTGTTCTGTGGAGAGGGAAATGGGATATCTAGTTCGAACTGGAAAGAAGTGCACGCAAGGACAAGAAGGTAAAACAAGAATATTGGCACTCAATTTCCATTGCTTTCTAGTTGCAATATTCTTCTTTTTGCTCATCCCTCTTCCCTATTTCAGGAATCAAGTAAGTCCAACCCATCTCATCATATGAGATATGATAGAGTATAAAAACATATGTCTGGACCTCAACCATCAGTTTAAGCTTTTAGTTGAGTTGGTCCTTTAACATGGTATCGGAGACAGCGTGACACAAAGGTCATGGTTTGAATCTCATCAACCCCCCACTTTCAAGTGGAATATTTCTCGCTGGGTATGCGGAGGGCCTATGTTGTATCCACATTTTAAGCCCAAAGGGCTTTCATGTGAGGGGCATGATAGAGTATAAAAACATGTTATTGGACCTCAACTATTAGACACAATTTTCAGGCAAATTTGCATATGAAACCCAGGAAAGATATAAGGCTGGAAGGTAGTCAATTTTCAGGCTAATGCAAACTCCCTCTTGTATTTCAGGAACTCCAAACGATTCTTAAAGGTATTTCAGAAATATCACTGTAATTGCTGGTTTGTCTTTTCTCCACTCATGTAACTAAAACTTGTTTGAAATGAGGATGCCATCAAATACTTGGTATGTTATTTCAGGTTTAGTTTCTATAATAAGTAGTTTGCGATCATTTTTGTCTACATCAAAGTTGAGGCAAATTCGGAGAACTGGATGATTGTTGGCAGAAAGCGTGGGCATATCTCTCTCCCCACTAAGCAAGCTAATAGCAGTCAATCAAAGTTCATACTCTATGATTAAGTGAACTCGATATAATTTATATTTGATATTTTGTTTAGGAACTAATATGCTTGTAATATATTCAGGATCAAGATTTATAATCTCAATTTCGTGTATACCCTTAGTGGCTGGGTATGTACGCCCCCTCATCTTCGGTTGCCAGATATCGACGACGCAAATATTAGTAATCTGCCTGCACCGCCTTTGGTCTGTGTCTTACCTCCTGCTAGATCTTAGTACTATTGATTGATTTTTGTAGTTTAAGTCAGTAGAATGTAGTAGATTATAATTCTTCCACGGAATTATTGATACCTAGGCACTAGAAAATTTTCAGCATTGTGAGTACCCTATGTATAATCTGCAATTACAACAACATAATAAGATGAGGAATATTTTTGTGACTTAGTCAATTTTAATGATACAAGGGGAACTTTCAACTTTTCTATATATACGAAGTAATTTTAATTTTATGCCTTCCTTTGTTTCTTAAATATTACAACACTTACCTTTTAAGAAAGTTTCACAAAAATTGCGCTATATCCATTTTAGGAAATAAAATATCTCTGTTTATATTGTAAATACCCAATATATCCTTACTTTTAACATTTGATTCTTTACTTTATGTTTACATCATATGGATAATTATGTATTTTTACCTTTCTGTCTCTTCCTTTTCCCCTCTACCAGAAAAAAGTGTGTCCAACCCCCTATGGTGCGATATTAAAAGAACAGAGGAAGTATAACTTTGCAATATTTGAGTGAATTATGTGATATTCAAATAGTAGGAGGAAATTCAAGTTACTCAATATGAATAACAAAATATGCTACTCAAAGAATACTATTGTCTTTTCTATACTGCCATTCAACTTTCTCTCTCCTCAATCCTCTCCTACCTCAGGTCTCAATCACGGCGCTGCACCCCGACCTCACTTCTTCACCACCAAACCGCCATCACAACCACCATCTCTTCGCCGAAAACATCACAACAACCATTCGATATTTTAAAAGTTTTTCATCTTGCCTCGTTTAACTTACATATACATTTAATACCACTTTTTTTATAAACAAAAATTACACAGTTTATACTTCCCGTTTAATTTCACACAATTGGGGAGGGGGGGAACTAGTAATGTCAAAAGTGCAAACGTTACAATATCTGAAAAAACAAAGATATATAATATATCATTTACCTTTTTATATGCAGAAAATGTATGACTTTTTAAGAACTAAGACTTTCTATTGTCTAGTTTTGTCTATTAGGAAATCAAATTTATAGAATGGAAGAGCTAAAGCTTGAATGCGAAGTACTTTTTTTTTTTCTTTCACTTACTTTGAAATTCATAAATTTTTGGGAAATCTCAATGGTGCTCTTAAGGTTTTTTTTTTTTTTTCTCAATGGTAAACACTAAAATATCAGATTATCTTTGGTAATCTATAATTTGTAAAACTAATTCAGTGGTAACATTAGTTAAGCATTTTAAAGATTATTAATCATGGTTAATCTTTTAAAAGGGATTAGAGGGAAAAGAGAAATGCCTAAAATGCCCTGTTTTAACAAAAACTCACCACCCCACTTCTTCCCCTGCAACCCCTGCCCGGCCGGCCGCGCCCACCAAGATCCCCTCCTCGGCGCCGACGCTAGGCTGAACCCCCTCCCCGGCCCCTAGTCGTCGCGACCCCTAAACTACCCAATTTCGACCCCCGCAGTCATTTCCTCTCTCTTCAGCGGTGTCGCTAACACCACCAACACCAACACCATCTCAAATCAAAGAAATGTGCAATAAATTTGTGGGTTCATCATTTATTTTTTTTTGCAAATGTATCTTCATTACAAGCAATGGTTTTGGAATTATACCCGTCGGGGCGGGGATGGGGGTGAATTTAAGACCCGCCGCGGGGATGGGGATGAAAATTTTAGGTGGGGATGGGGATGGGAAAGCCAACATTAACATCCGCCCCGCCCCGCCCCATTGACATCTCTATTCATTACCCAGAAATGAGATTGGGGTTAGCTTTTGATTAGTAGAACATATAAATTTAGTGATTATTTGACCTAAATTTTAGATTGGGAAGGTCAAATTAAAATTCGCAAGTGACCAAAGGCGTAGATCAAAGGTGAGTGGAGGGAATAGGGGTGTTGGTCGACGGCATCCAGCGAGGGTTTTGGTCGGTGGGTGGCGCCTTGTCAATGGAGATCGGGGGTACTTGATTGGGGGTTTCAGTTAGGGATTTCGTGGGTTTTGTGGGGGATCCGGGAGGGAGGAAAGGGAGGCGTTGCCACAGGGGGGGGAGTCGATGTCGGCGCTGGGGGAGGAAGGTTTGGGAGCGGCCAGCATCGGGGGCAGGTGGATTGGGTTTAGGCGTTGGGCAGGGTGGAGTACTAGAATGGCTGGTAGTGATTTTTTTTTTCCTTTTTAATTGTTAAAAACGTAAAGGAAAATCTTATTTTTCAAGGGTATATTAGTCAATTTGCCTTTTATTAACTATGGTTAGACTTATATTTATAGATTAATCTCATTAATGTCACCATTGAATTAGTAATACAAATAGTTGATTACCAATGATAATATGATTTTTTGTTTTTTTTTTTTTTTTTTTTTTGAAGGGAATGATTTTTTGTTGTTTACCATTCGAGAAAAATAAAAACCTTAAGAGCACCATTGAGAATTTCTCCAAATTTTTTTTATTTTGCAAAAAAGAAATGCAATCAAGCATTCAATTGCTCTCCTTCATGGCCAGACACATTAGTCAATGTATATTAATGGCTTAATACATTCATTGTAAATCGGGTTAAAAAAAAAATCTATCCTATAAAAAATAATTACAAAATGTTTAAATAATACGAAGCAATCAAATTGTATGCTCGCTTGACTATTTTGCTTTAAGAAATTTCATCTTTAATGTTATCTAATACTTTTTTTTTTTTTTTTTGAATAGATGTTATCTAAAACTTTGTATACTTAATTTGGACTAATATAGGAACACTTTAGTTCTCATTCAATTCTAAAAATTAAATATACTACCTTCGTTAATTTTTATGTGCAACTTTTACTATTTTTGTCCGCTAAACATTATGTGCAACTTTCTATTTTCTTTCTATTTTTAGTAAACAAAAACCCTAGAAATTACATATTTACCCTGAATTAAAATTTCAGATTTTCATAATTTTACCCTTACCCACCAAGTTTGCAAGTGGGTGGGTCTACTTTCTCTCTCCTATCACTTTAATTACCTTTATTTATTTCCTCTAATATTTGCCCTTTAAATTTTGTCTCGTGAACCAAAAACCTCTCCAAAGTTACACATAAAAATTAACGAAAGTAGTATATTTTCATGGTTTAATGTGTTACTTAATAGTACAATAGGTGAGAAATGATCGTATGAGATCTGTAAAGTGGTCTGACCAATAATGAGTCTTAAAAAAAATGGATACGCTAAGGTATCAATATAGATATAAAAAAAAATAGATAATAACAATATTTATAAGGTTAGTGATAATCAAATTGAGCCTCACCAATAAAGGTAAATGATCAAATGATGATCTCATAATATAAGCTAGTGTAAAAGGTTAAAAATCATCTCGATAACAAAATAAATCACTGAGACCCTTCAATTTAACTTTTTGACTTAAGATATTTGTGTTAATCTTAATTTGATATCCAATGAGATGTAATATCCAACCAGCTGCTTTCAAATCAAAATATAGAAATAAAAATCAGGCTTTATAGAAATTTCACACAATGAAAATAAATCTGAGATATTTTAGCTGTAATAACTATAAAAGTATCCTTCAAATTTTGGAAACAAATCAAAGGAAATATTTCATCTTTCATTTGCAGCATTTATGTAAAAATGTCTTAAGTAACTTATTCAGCCATTCAGGAGCTAAATTCTTGTTAAATAATTAATACACAATAGATTATTAGTTTGCTAAATTATTTATATCGGATAAAAAAGCTATCTCTTTATGATCAATTATAATTTGACTAATACATATATTATATATAATTTATACTCGTCATAGACAATTAATTAATAAAATGCTCCAAACTTGAAGACATGGAGCCATCACACTTCATATAATAAGCCACTTTTCATTAATCGGCTATAATAGAAGATAACCATAACAAAAGAATTACCCACCTACTAGCAAGGTCAATTTGGACATTTTAATCAGTATATATATATATATATATATATATATTAAAAATTTCCCGCCAATATAATATTTGATGTCAGGTTTAGGTTTTTGTAAAAAAGATTATTCTACTTAGCTTATATTTTGGAAGTACATTGTATATTTTTGAACTAAAGTAATTTATTAATAAAAAGACATACGACGTCTACATTGTATAGTTTTATTGGGAATAACATGCATTATTAATGTAATATAATGTATACTATTTTTAAATATATTCAACACAACTAAGCAATATTAATATTTTTTTCCTCAATCGTAATTTTAATAATTTTTGCCTTATTATCTCATTTTTCTTATATACATTGCATTTGTTTATCTCACAAGAGTTGCCTCATTTTTATATTATATCACAAATTAATTATATGAAAAAAGATTATTACTACCGAGTATCATATGGGCACTAATCAAGTATATTAATGTTTTTTTTTCATTAAACATATCATCAATTAATTTAAAGTTTTTTATTTTAACAAAAAACATGTAATGCTTTTTTTTTAATATTAAAAACTTCTAATGCTTTATACTTCATATGTTATTATTATTATTATTTAAAAAGAAAAAAAAAAAAAAAAAAAAAAAAAAAAAAAAAAAAAAAAACTATATGTACGAAGAGACTGTTTATTACCTAGAGATTGTTTATTTTCACTCCTTTATGGTTGCTCTTCTTATTTATAATCTTGTTGTCCTCTAACTGCAACTATCATTAAGGTTTATTAGCTTTTGAAATGTACATTGTTTGATGGCAGAAACTACGTTATGGAATTGTGAAAGCGATTCATATTAAATAATGATATTTGAGCAGATGTTATCAAGAGGTATAAAGAACTTAAAAATAGGGGTGGCAAACGAATCAGGTCGGGTCGGGTTCGTGTTCGGGTCACCTAGTTTCGGGTCAGGTGACCCCCCCAACCCGAACCTGATCCACTTAAGTTTTCGAGTTGAAAATCCCAACTCGAAAATGACCTGATCTGACCTTTTTTTTTCCGGATTTATGTTCGAATTTTTTTAACATATTATACACAACATTCCCTGAATTCTTCAAAATCTATCAAACATAAAACCTAGAAAAAAATTTCAAACAAAAAACCCATAAAACAATACAAAAAAATCGCATAAAAAAAAACAAAAAAAAAAAAAATCAGAAAAAGATATGTAAAAACTCAGAACAACTAGATCAATGAAAAATAGGCGATTGTCACTAACAAAATTTATATACTTACATTATAATTTCATCAAAAATAATGACAGTGACGGTGGTCGGCCGGGCTTGCTGTGATAGATCTAAAGTACAAAAAACCTCAACAATAGATAATGACAGTGACGGTGGTCGGCCGGGCTTGCTGTGACAGTGACGGTGGCTAGCTTACTCACGTGACATTGCTGACTTGCTCGCGTGAAGAGAGAGAAAGAGGAGCTTTTCAGATGAATTAATTAAGAAAGGATTATTCGAATATAAAGAACAAAAATCACAAAAATCAGAGAATAGATGTTCAAATTCGAATTTTCTGGATGAATTGAAGCTTTCCGGATGAAGATAAAGAAGGAGAAGAGAACGGTGAAGAGAGATACAGAAGGAGAAGAGAACAGATGAAGAGAGAGAAAGAGAAGAGAGATAAGGAGAAGAAAGAGAGAGAAAATGTGAAAACGGCTGACTGGCTGAGAAAGTGAGATTATGAGAAGGTTGAGATGAGAGAGTGAGAGTGAGTTAGGGTTTCTATTTAGAGTTTTGGGCTTGGGGTTTGGGGCCTTGGGCTGGTAGTAGGTTTTTTTTTTTTTTCGTTTTGTTTTAAAGACTTTTTTTAAAGTCGGGTTCGGGTTAACCTGACCTGATTTTGACCCAAAAATATTTTCGGGTTAAGTAGGTCATTTTCGAGTTGAAATTTTCAACCTTTACCTAACCCATTTAATTTCGGGTCGGGTTCGTCTCAACCCATTTAAGTATTCGGGTTGAAAATCTCAACCCAAACCCGCTATTTCGGTTCGGGTTGGGTCAATTTTTGCCGGCCCTACTTAAAAATCCTAAAATCAAGGGAAATCGATAATGAAAAAAAAATGGTATTAATTATGGAGAGAAATAGAAAGAATTTAAGAGGAAAAATATAACTAAGTGGTTATTGCTTTTGTATGAGATATAGATATTAGATGGTCGTAAAACATTTTAAAGAACTTACATTATTAAGTTTTTAGCTGCAACATTTCACATATTACTACTCCGTATAACCTAAGCTCACAAAAAAAAAATCATTTGAAGAAAATCACGCTAGAATTATTATACTAAGGATTATTGAAACAGGCAAATCAATTAAGAGTTCTAAATTAACAATTGCCCCTTAAGATATGGAGGGATAATAATATGATATGAAGAGATGCAAATTAATTAAATATATAATAATTTTTGAATAATATTGTCAAACTTTAGAGGATTTTATAAAATAATTTATATAAAAGATTTTGGTGGATTTCAAACGCACATGAACCAAATAGTACGGATTAAAGCTACCACCCAAACCAAAGGTGAAACACACACCCAAACAAAATAATCTCCGCAAGAGCTACCCCTCCGCGCGTGTAGGCCACCCTAGTATAAAGAATATTTTTTGTTTTAATTTAACTAAATATCTTATACTAAATATAAATCTTATCTGGCGCTTTTTAGCGGAATAGCGGGATCCTTATAATTTACCCCAATTCATCTGATCTTTAACTCAATCTTGTCCATGTATAGATTCTAGTACATGTTTCTATTTTCCTCTCATATATATATAGTTGTTTTTGAGAGAAAAATATTTTGAACCTTTTCTTTTTCCACTGCAGAGAATTGACAATGGCCGAGGGTGACAGGATTAGCAGCTTGCCGGATGTCCTCCTTTCCTTCATCTTATCGTTTTTGTCAACCAAAGAAGCTGTTGCTACAAGCATATTGTCTAAAAGATGGGAATCCATTTGGACTAAAGTCCCTGTGCTAAACTTTTCATTGAAGTCTGGTTCAGCTAACGACTTCAAAGCGTTTGTGGATTGAGTCTTGCTCTGTAATGATTCACCTTCATTAAGGCTTTTTCATCTTTCTGGCTTATCAGCGAAACAAGTTAGTGACTACCATTATCATTCATGGATTAGGAATATAATGCGACGGGATGTCGTTGAGAAGGATCTTGTACATGTCGGGGGAATACTACCAGCTGGGACTCTTTCGAGTTAGAAACTTACAGTGCTCAAGTTGTTCGGCTTAAGAACCCCATTTTGGGGTTCATTTCATCTACCAAGTCTCTTAACCCTGCACGTCAAATTCATTGAATTACCAGACGATTTACCTTCGAAAAATATCTTGATGAGCTTACCTTAGCTTGAAGAATTGGCTTTATTTAAGTGCTTGGGATCGAAAAATATGTGTATATATTCTTCTTCTCTAAAGAGATTGGAAATTGTTGAGGAAATGGTGTTTCCTAGAAGATTTGAACGGACTACAATAGATTGTCCAAGCCTAGAATACCTTCAGATTTATGGTGGCCAATTTTCTGAATATAGGTATGGAAACATGCCCTCTCTGACTGAAGCTAGACTTCATGTTGGACTCAACTCTAAAGAACGCTACGATGTTGAAGTGATTAGCGACCTTAACCATGCTTCTAACCTCAAGACTTTTAAACTAGATATTGCAACGAAAAAGGTAAGCAATATACTCTTTAAGTTTTTCTGCTTTTTGTCACTGTAATATCTGATACAATTTTCTGTTTTGTTTTGCATCTAATTAATTTTAAGTCTGCTCCCGGGTATACTGAGCGTGATCAACGCCCTTTGTTTCCAAACTTGACCCATGTGATTGTGGACTACGACTTTAGTTCAACCAACTGCTCAAACTTTTCATGGCGGTATCTTGTGCTATGGATTTTGCAGTGTGCTCCTAATATCGTATCTTTTGATTATTTCTCGGGAAGTCCAGCTATTTAAACTCTGAGTGTTTCCAATAATTTCAATGGTTAATATCTTTGGTACTTCAGAGCAAAGATGACAAATATTGCACCAATATACGTTTGGGGGACTACCTACCGCACTCAGGTCAGCTAAACCTAGAGGAATTCATTCCACATCTTGCTAATCTAGAGGAATACCAACCACAGCTACCAGCACATTCAACTTTACCCAAATGTATGTTTCCAACCCTTGAAGTCGTTAACGCCAGCTTGTTGGATGTGGTTGATGCTGATAAGATACTGCTGGAATATCTGTTGAACAACGCCGTAAACTTGAAGGTGGTCAAAATCAATTTCAAGGGAAGTAACGTTGATGAAAATACCATGGATGCAATAATTGGATGGCTCAACGAAGTTCCCAGGGCCTCATATGAGTGTAAACTAGTAGTTTCTCCTCCTTAAGGCCGGGTATGTCGTTTGTTAAATTTGTGTTGTGAAATTGTGATGCCACTGATGTTACGTTGTAAAACTACATTACAACATATAGGAAAGCTGACCTCTAATGTCATCACCTGCAGGGATCTGCTTAAAACCGTGTCGTAGATTAAGCTAAGCTATCTTTTGAGGAAAGGACTACCAACAAGCTAGCAGATATATATATATATATATATATATATGGGCTAAGAAAGCAAGGAACGAAAAACTTGGATATTTTGTTACCAGACTTTCTATTTATCTACCCCTCCCCTGGTCTGTATTTAAAACTGCTACTGCTGAAGATTCTGTAAACATTAATCTTCGCCCTAGGCCTGGGTATGATCCTCAATCACCTATTTAATAGGGTGAACTATATTACTCCGTAGTACTTGAAACTTGATTATTAATACTACCTTCGTTTTTTTTATGTGCAACTTTTGCCATTTTAGTCCGCTCACTATTATGTGCAACTATTTATTTACTTTCTATATTTAGTAAACAAAAACCCATATAATTACAATTTTACCCTTAATTACAATTTCAGATTTTTTATAAAATACCCTTATTTTACTTTAAACATATTATTCTATACTTAATCTAATTAACCTAATCTAACCACTCTCCCCCAAACTCCTCTGATTTTCTCAACTTCCCAACCACCAAAATTAAATTCTGATGGCTGACCTTCCCTTTATCTTCTGGAGAGTTCTTGATAAGAACCCTAATTCATGTTCTACCTTTTCCTCTCTCATGTTCGTCGCATTTTTCCTCCATAATTTGTCCCTAGATCTCACCTTCACACATAAGATCCTACCACTTACGAGTCCTCAACTGCGCAATGTTGAACCTTGATCCCCTTCGCGATGCTTTCATAGCCACCGGCGATGTTAGCAAGGGAAAGCTGATTGTTTCCCTCATCAAATCCTTTGAAACTGGATCTCGTTTCCTCGACAATTCTACGAGTCTGGTGAGGCTTTCCCTTACTGCAGTTCCACCACCTACAAGGCCCTGGGTAAGGTCCTTGAAAGCTGTGATGAGGAGGAGCGTTAGAACAAGGCTGAGGGGGTGGGGGAGTCTCGTGGAAAAAAATCTCTTGATTTCACTTCTGTTACTTTAGATCTGGCCTCTGCAGTGGTGAGGGGAGTTCCTTGGCCACAAAACAGCCCAGATCTAAGAGGGCTAGGCCTCCCACGAAGATCCAGGCTAGAAGGAGGGCGGCGTTGGTGGCTCGTAGACGGATGCTTAGGTTGCCGGATGTGGAGTACGTCGTGCTCTCATCTGATGATGAGCCTCAAGAGGAGGATGCTTCGTCCACTCCTCGTAAGAAGGCTTTCCCTCCTGTGCAAATCTGTGAGAGGCGGATGAACCCTAGGGTTCAACCCTCCAACTGACTGCTTGCGTAACGATTCCTTACCCTATCTTGACTAATTTTTTTTGAGTCCCTTTGTTTTGATTTTTTGGATCGTATGTTGATTTGTTCTGGTGGGTTGTTGGCTATGTTGCTTATGATTGATCTGGTGGTTTGTTGGCTATCTTGACTAATTTTTTCCTATTTTTTGAGTCCCTATGTTTTGATTTTTTGGATAGTATGTTTATTAGATCTGGTGGGATGTTGGCTCTGTTACTTAGGATTGATCTGGTGGTTTGTTGGCTATGTTGGCTTGTTTTCTGATCTGTTGGATACTTGGGTTGTTGGGTCTGTTGAGTAAATTTATGTGATGCTAGGCTTGTTGGTTGTCTGATTGTGTTGGTTTATTGGACCATGTCCTTAGTTTCTGATACTGGTGGATTCTTGTTTGACCAGCCTGGATTATTGGATGTTTGGTTGTGTTGAGTTTAGTTATCTGATATTCAGAATGTTGGGTGTTTGGTTTTGTTAGTATATTGTATTTGTTGCCTGATCTAGTTGCTGCTTTATTGGAATATACTGGCTTTATGTACTTCAAATCATTTGGTAGTGATTGTTGTTGTTGATTGGGTAGTCAGTCCTCTATTTGATGGATTATGTTGGTTGTGGGGATTTGATTGATGAATGATGAGGCTGGTATGTTGTTCATGTTCATTGTTGCCTAGTCAGTCCCTTACTGCTTTACTAATTCCTTAAAGGAGTCCCTTGTGATTAGATTGTGTATCCTGGTTTGTATTGAGTCCCTTACAGTGATGTGCTATTTACCTTATCCAAATCCACATGATGAAGGGATTCCATTGAATTTCACTAATCACAAGTGTTTTGCTCCGACAACATGCTTAATGTTGTTGTTGTTGAGGTACCCTTGTGCATTAGTGGTTTATTTAACAATGACATAAAAACCCTCTGATGGATTGAGTGCCCACATAAAATCTCATTCTTTGTCATTCATATTCCATTCAAAATGTGGGTACAAGAGACCATGCCTTCATCTAAAGACTTTACAACAGACTGCCTTACATGCTTGGATCATTGTAATGAACAAAATACACCTAACCACCTGGTAATTCAACAATATTTATACAAAAAAAAAAAAAAAAAAAAAAAAAAAAAACCTAACATAGCTAAGTGGTTATGTGCGGCAGTCCATGTGTTGTCTTATTGATGTAATGAGTCCCCTAATCTGCATCCACTCCATATCTTCTGTTGCCTCTTCATTGCCTTGATTTGCTGGCCTTAACATAGTGTTTAGGTACTCCACAGCCTCCATCACTACTTCTTTTTGGACTTTTACTTTTTCTGGTAGAATGCCAATATTTTTAAGTTTTTTTTTGTTCATGTGGGGTATTTTGTACTTGTCCCCACCTTCTGCCTTGAGGATCTTTATCATGCATTTTTGCAAAGTTACCCAGATGTACTTGTTAACTTGGGGATTGAATGTTTCATAAGCGTCTCTGACTTTTTCAACTAGCTCATCTAAGTCTCTAAGAAAAGACTGATATTGCAAAGATTAAATAGACCTAAATAGCCCTAAATCAAGCACATTCAAATCAGGTGATTGTGCTGGCTGAAAAACAAATTGAATGTTGAACCCAATTGTTGTTGTTGCTGCCATAAATTCTGCATCCCTAGGAACTTGGTGAGGCATTGCATTGTCCCATTGGATGACCACATCTTTGGCCAGACTTTCAGGCCACTTTGAGATGATTGCTGGTATGACCTTTGTGAGCAACATATCTCTAATTACTTCTCTGTTTATATTCTGGAGTGCCTTTGTTTCCAAAGTCCCTGCCTTTTTTTGCTTGATTTATGTGCTACTTGCTGGACAGTATATGGGAATATGCCATACTTCCCATCATGTAGGAGTTCCCCATTTCTGTCATATAATGGTTTCCCTATAATTGCCATTAACATTGCCTTCATCTTGAATCTTTTTTACTGTACTGCCATGTAGGGATCCTCCTCACTTGGCAGTAGATAAAACCTCCTCTTATCAGGGTTCAAATAGAACCACTTCTCATCGATGTGTATGACATGTTTCATGTCAACAAATGTGGGGTCCTCATTACCTGTAACTGGATTTATGTGTGACAAAATCCATCTTAGTCTAGCTATCTTATGATCTGATGTCAGTGCTGGCTTGTTGCAGCATGTGTGTGTTCTTAGCCTTCCTCTTTTCTTCAAGCTGTGAATAATACTATGACTAATCTTCAGTGCTCCTGCATAACTTCTTTCTGTCTGCCTTAAATGCAAAGGGACTGCCTGTAGAATTTCATTAGAAATTTGCAATGGCTTTCTCCCTGTTCTGCCAATCTTCTTAGTCCTGACATCAATCAAGTCCCTTTTTGCCAACTATCTTTTTATTTCTGTGAAGATTATTGTGATGGTTGATTTGTGAACATTGAATTGAGATGATAAATGTTTCATGTGACCCCTTGGTAATCTGCCCTCATGCATTTTCACCAACATTGCATCAACAATTTTTCTTCTCTTGTGCATTGTTAGTTGCTTTCTGCCTGCCATTTGAGTCTCTTGATGAAGCTGTTGTTGCATTTGTGAGGAAGCAACCTCAGCTTCTGTGTGTTGCTGTTGTTGTTCTTCTTCTTGGTTGTTATCCGTGTTTTCATCTTCAGATTCATAGTCCCATATGCCTGCATCTTGCATTTCTTCTTCATAGTCATACCACAATTCTGCCATCTCTTCTTCATTTAGTTATGTGATCAACATCGAAAAAAAACACCATCAACAAATTCTGTTATTGTGTTTGTGTTCTTCAGCACAGGTAGATGATGTAGGGGGGCTGCTGATTTTGTGTGGAGTATGTAAAGAATGCAGCTTGATGTGCAGGACTAACAACAGCTTAGCGTTTTTTTTTTTTGGGTTTTAACTGGGTAGTTAATGTGTAATTATGCTAATTTAATGGTGAATGTAGGCTTTGGTTGCCTTAACTAGATTGATATTTTTTGCTGGAAACTTTGTTTTTGCAGGAATCTTTGATCCAGCTTCAAAACATTAATGGTTGTAATTTAATGTCTGAAAATGGTGGCTGGTTTTTATAGCCCCCTTAAATGTTGAATGAAGGCTGTATATGATTTCAAAATTTTCAGAATGGCAGGTGCTTTTTTATAAAAAAATTGGAGGGAACCAAAATTTCCACCAAAAATTCATCCAATTCGAATTTTTGGTGACGTGAAAAATTGGGGGGAGACCCACCCTTTGTACTTTCTGGCAGTTTTTCCCACCAAAAATGCAAGTGGGTGGCCACACTTTCTCTCTCCTATCCCTTTAATTAAACCCACTAACTTTTCTTAATCTTTGTCCTTCAATCTTTTGCCTCGTGAACCGCAACTTTAGCCAAAGTTGCGCATAAAAAAAACGGAGGTAGTACTTTATCTCTAGGTATGATCCTCAATTACCCATTTAATAGGGTGAACTATATTATTCTGTAGTACTTGGAACTTGATTATTATACTATATGCTTAGTTTGAGTATCAAATAATTTTTTCTTTCATTTGATACCAAAAAGTGTTGGTATGAGACAAACCTATTTCCCCGAGGTTTCTAATCGACATACCTTAGGGGGTTTGTGGTATGGATTTTAAGATACTTGATGTGTTTAAACCATTTAAAATTCGTACTAGAGCAAAAAATATAGTAGTTTGGGTGGAGAGTCTAAAAGAAGAGATATACGAACTATATATATATATATATATATATATATATATATATATATATATATATATTTTGAAATAAGATATACGAATTATATGATATACGAATTATATGATACTCTATATTTATTTATTTTGCACATACATGTAACGATTAAAAAAAATAGTACCCGAAAAAAAAAAAAAGTTGAAAATCCTTTCTACTTTCTACTCTGTATTTGGATTTGAAGTACTCCGTGTTATTTCATATAGGGGTGAGCAAACCGGGTACCCGGTCAAAATTTTAGGATCCGGACCCGGAATTGGTTGGGACCGGGTCCTAAAATTTGGAACCGGAATTGGAACCGGTACAACCGGGTCCTAAAATTTAGGAATTGGAATTGGTTCCACCGGGTACCGGTTCCGATTCCGGGTATCCACTTATATATATAAGTGTTGAAATATAATACAAATCATAATATTTTTTTTGGTGTATTTTTACTTTTAGCGTTTAATACTTATATTTTTATATACATTAAGCTATTTTAATTATATTAAATATTAATATTTTTTTTACTAATTAGTTACGTTCAAAATATTTTTGTTTTTTAAAATATATTTTGTACAATATATGTTTGGTAACCGGTATAGTAGAGCGGAGAGAAAAATCTAGAATTTTTAGGGTTTTGTTTGATAGTGGGTTGAGTATTTTATAAGCAATTGGGTTAGAAATTAAAATGGGTTGTACATAACTCTTTAGTTTTTTAAAAACAAAAACAATCCGCATACTACATCATATACAACCGGGTACCCAGTGGGTACCGGGTCCAAAATTTTAGCATTTGGAACCGGAACCGGTTACAACCGGGTCCGAAATTTTGGACCCGATTCCGGGTCCGATACCGGGTACCCTGGATCTTTGCTCACCCCTAATTTCATATATCCTTCATCACAGTCAAAGATAATCATAAGAGCTTAAAGGGTGAAAGTATCAAAGGTTCATAACTTTCAAGTTAAATCAAATTACGTAAGGATTGAGCTTTGGAGAGAGAAATTTACTACAGTACAAATACAGGTATTGCAAATTCACAAAATATATATATATATATACGGGCTAGTTCCGCTGAAAACAAGGCTTAGGCTGAAAACAACAAATCTTAACCCTTCATTATTAGTACAAAAGATCAAATGGTTTAAAAGCCCTAAGATCATTCCAACCTTACATATAATTAATTCAACCGTTTTAAAGGTCACTACATGCTAAAATAAGATACTTTATCTAAATTGATGACATTTACATAGAGTCACTATATATAAAAATAACGGAACAATATACAAAAATAGGGTAACTATATCAATTTTTACAGCATTTACATTAAGGTCACTACATACAAAAATAGGGTAACTATCAATTTTGATCATATTCTCATAGAAGTCAGTAAGTCACTATATACAAAAGTAGAGTAACTATATCAATTTTGACCACATTTACATAAAAGTCATTATATACGAAGATAAGATAACTATATTAATTTTGATGGTAACCTCCAACCATAGACAAGCAACACCCACTCTACGAGCCACTTGGATTCCATACCTTGCTGTCGCGACTTCTGCATCCTCCATATTCCACCTTCCCGCCATATGTCGTACAACAGCCCATACCTCTCCCTTCTCATTACATGCAACAACACTAAGGCCCACATATTTGCTGCCCAAATGCGCATCCACATTCACCTTTGTGACACCCATAGTAGGTTGAATCCATGCTACAGCCAAAGAGAAATCGGCTTACAAACACCTTCTTAGCATAGAGGCTAATCATCAACAAGCTTAGTAAAACCCACTGTTGTTTGGACAGCGTTGAGCAGCAAGTTCTCGTGTCTTGCCATGTTCCTGCAGTACCATATCGACTATGCTAGTGCACATAGTGTCATCAACTAATTACAGTCCAATTTACTAGCCAATCAAACCAACCGAGAGCTAAGATCAGACTACGTAACATCATCTAAAGAATAACTCGAAAACTACTGCAGTCCCAGACTTCCTTAACCACCGTGCATTTTAAATTAAATATGATCCAAAACAAAATTTTCTCCATTCCAATTAAAATCAACACAAAAAAAAAAAATGCTCAATTCTTCTTACTAGCTAAATGTAAAACCCAATAACTATTTTACACAACTATACCAATTTATTTTGATGTCCTGCGTAAAACAATAACTATTTTACACAACTATACCAATTTATTTTGCCGTCTAGCAATGATCCAGCTGATCAATTTTGTAGTTTGAGCATCAATTATATACCAAGCATCATTGAATAAAACTTTGAAAGAGTACTATGACAACATTGGACTTCGACACAATAGTTGTTCTTAGTTTCCTCATATAATCAGTAATACAATATCTAGCAACTAATCTCATTAGTGTGGTAAAATTAGTCAACCCACACAGAAATAATAATAGGCTCAATTTGTCTATTCATTACTGCCTAAAGCAACAGGACATCATAATAGCTATGTTTTAATAGTACATAATTTACCAAACCTAGGCCTATTAATCTCTCTCCTCCTCCTATACTCTATGCAATATAAAGATTTCGAGGAACTTTTGGTGCTATAATATCACTAATTAATAATACTATCCAATTTTACTCAAATCAAGCTAAAATCAAACAAAAATCTAGCTAAACTTTAGCTATAATTGATGCTCACTGACAACAATACCAAATACCAACAATGTTTATTAAGATCATGCAAATTATTAAAAAAAAACAAAAAATCAAACCAAAACAAAATTATTATGAATTAAAAAAATAAGATACCTCAAATTAAACGAATTCAAATTCAGGTTTATTAATGTCAGAACGAAGAGCATCAACAATCTCAGTCTCACGTTCTTCAACAAATTTGACAATACTCTTCAACTGAGTAACTCTCCATTCGTAACTCCGAGTTTTACCGCTCACGAAATTCCGCCGGAGCTCCGTCACCATCTCCGCCGCATCTTCGCCGCTGAACGTCAAACCTCCATTATCAACCTCGAAGAAAGAGAAATTTAAAAAAATAATAAAAAAAGCGTGATTATTGTATTTCTTAGAAAAGAAGGGAAAGGAACGAGTTGTTTGCAGTGCCTCGAATTCGTATAAACTTCAGCTATTTTGATTAAGCTGATGGCATAATTGGAGAATGACGAGCAATCAGATAAAATTTGCCAAAAATTACAAAATTAAACAAAAAACAGAAGCAAAGTACTCAAAAAATTACACAAATCGGAAACGAAAAACTCAAGAAATTACTCAAAATAGCAAATATCAACCGAATATTGCAAAACAAAAAGTACCTAATATATTTGTGAAATGATCAAATTAGTACTTACCTTTCCATTTCGTAATTTAGTTCAGTAAGATTCGATTTTCGTCGCTTTGTTCCATTCGGATTTCACTTCGATTTGTTGCGAAAATCTAGGGTTTCATTGATGAAATGTCAGCTTCAATTGTTCGATTTGACTTGATTTTTGCAAGTTTATGAACAATGTTAGCAAAATTTAGGCGAAAATCGCAAGAAATTTGTTGAAATTGTGTTCGACTTGGAGCAATTATGGTGGTGTTTGGAGAGAAAATATGGTGATTTTAGGAGAGAGAGATTAGAGGGAAGTATGGGTTATTTCTGAGGAGAGAGAAAGTAGACGATGAGGGGTTATCTACTTGGGTTGTAGTTTGTTATCCGAAAAATAGAGTAAATAATAGAGCATAAAATCTCATCCGTGGATTAAAATTTAATGGTCTAAATTATCTGTTTTTTAGTTTTCAGCTTTAAACTTATTTTCACATGATATATATATATATATATATATATATATATATATATATATATATATAAAAAAATATAATATATATATATATATATATATCAGATAATATAAACTCCTTAATTAGAGTGATTTCCATTGATCAATATTTATAAGATTACAATGGGAAACCTAATCATATTAGGTAACTACAAGATATGTAAAGATATCATAAGATAATCTTATACAAAATATATCCTAAACCTAGAGAAGAATATTCTATGAATATTCTCTATCACACCCCCGCAGGCAGAGCGGGAGAAAATCGGATGCTCAGACTAGATCTGAATCATGCATTGAACGGTAAGGATAGTATGGTAACCTATAATCAAAAGAGAAGTATTAGACGTGTGCCGGTGATGACGATGAGAAGCAATAGCCAAGACCTCCATACAATAGAGATAAGCGTTGTTAGGCCGGAGGAGAAGGAGAAGAGTCGCGCCTAGACTTGGGCCAAGTTGCAGATCCAGAAAAGAAGAAGCTAAGGGATCAAACCATCATCGGGGAGAAGACACTACCTTACTACGGGAAATCACAATTGAGGAAAAATAAATTAAATTGCTCAATAAGCTACTAAAATCCCACCACTTAACCGGTTGATACATTTACCTCTAAAAAAAATGACCCACATAAGGAGATAAATCCCACCAAAAATAACCAAAATGCATGATCTGTGCACCCAGGTTAAATAAAAAAAATGGGCGGAAAGAACATTTAGGTGTTTGAAAAAGAACATTCAGGTTTTTGAAAAAAAACATGTTTGTGTTTAACAAATAATATGCATTATTAAAGAACATAAAGACGTTACAAAAAGAACATGATAAAAACTTTATTAAAATTTTATGTAAAATTACACATTAACGGAAAAAATCTTTATCAAAGATATCATTTCCCCTAAAATAGTTTTTTTTTCTCTCCAAAAATTCAACTTTCCATAATAATTTTAGTTTTCTCTCTCTAAAATATTTTCGACTAAAAAAATTTAAGATTTCATTTCCAAATTAAATTTCAAAATTCAAAATAACATATGTTAAAAGAACATAAGTTATAATGTAAGGAACACATAATTCATACCTGAAGAACACACTGATCAAACTCAAAGAACATACGATAATTAAAAAAATATGATATATGATAATAAAAAATATAAAAAATAAAAAGAATTTGTGCGTCACTCATTACTTCAAAAAAAAAAAACAAATACGTGCCAAATTCAAAGAACATACGAGCCAAATTTAAAGAACATACGAGCCAAATTCAAAGAACATACTTTGTATTATTGAAACCCAAAAAAACATGTTTAATCAACATATGTTAAAGAACATAAGTATAAAAGAACATATTATCAAAAATATGTAGCTATGTTCTTTGTCAAACGCTGTATGTTCTTTGTCAAACACGGTATGTTCTTTATTAAACAACCGTATGTTCTTTTCGTCTTCTAATATGGTGCACCCGGGTGTACTATTCTATTTTCAATATTTGTTCCCTTAATTTTGATTTTTTTTTTTCCCGTAATTATTTAAGATTGCAAGTAATTTTTATTTATGTATTATTATAGTTTTAATTATTTGAAGGTTGTGTCAAAAAAAAAATTATTTTAAGGCAAAGATCTAGGTTGATTCGATTCAGTATTGCTGAGCTCATTGCGAAGTTTATGAATTTTATAAAAATTCTAAGTTGTTTGAATTTAATAGAAAGAATAATTTGAAAGCTCTTTAGTAAATAAATATGTAAGATTTAATTCTAGTTACAACTCCAAATTTAGAAATTAGAAAAATTGCAATTCTGAATTTTTAAAGAAGAATTTGTTATACTATAAGCAATAAAACAGAAATTACTTATCTCTTGATGTGTGAACCAAAACTGACAGTAGCTGTGTCGTGGCGAACCACTAACCTAAAAGACGATTTCGCGCTACCTCACATATCTCCTCTTTCTCCTCCTTCTTCTTCCATCCCAATCTCTCTCCTTTCCCCCACCTCCGGCCACCGTTTGCATCATCAGAAGCAGAATCTTCGGCGGCGCATTATTCCATCTCCTCCGCAAATACTCACTGGAACCCTCCCCAATCGCCGCCATTCATGTCTTCGAGAATTAAAGGTTGGTTCCGTTATCCGCACAAAGGTTGGTCCGTTATTCACACAAAGGTTGGTTTGTTTATGTTAAATTTTTCTTATTAAAATAAGTTCCGAATAACCTTAATCGAATATCCTTTATAACACTAATCGAGTAAGGAGAGAGTGAGAAATAGCTCAAGTGTTAGAGTTTCCCTCCCGTTTTCAAGATATCATGAGATCGATTCTCACCCCACCCTTGTGGCTTTCTAAACACCAAAAAACTGATCAAGTAAACAGTAACACTATATGGTGACTACCCACACAATATCACATCAATAATAACATAATACTAAAACAGACACCAAGAATGACATGTGTCATGTTCTAGTGCAATTTTTTCCCTCCAAAATCATTTTTTTCCCTCAACTACTTATTTTAAACTATTCTTTATATATATTTATTAAATCATATAATTGTGATTCACTTTCCTAAAATAATATTTATTTGTGATTCACATATTTTTCATATCTTTTATTGTATAAATTATTATTTATATTTATATTATTCCATGTGTAATCAATATATAATATATATTACATTGATTTTAAAATATATTTTATTGACTTTGATTGATTTCACATAATTGATTATATTTCCAATATGATAAATATATTTATGAATGTGTTATTATTGTTTATTTAATTTCAAAACTATTTGTACTAGTATATCTTTTTCACAACTTATTACTAATTGAATTATCTTTTAATTTTTTTCCTACATAATTAATAGTTTGATTTATAAACCCTATATAGCATGGACACTATGCTAGTACTACTATAAAAGTTAGTGAAATCTATTTTATTAAAAAAAAAAAAAAATTAGTGTAAAAGTGTAAAGTAGAAATGTAGGATTGTCTTCCAAAAAAAAACAAAAAATTAGAAATGTAGGATTTGCCGTTGTGTGAGTGGGTGTGACTTTTCTATCCTGCAAATTCAAAGTCTTAAAGATATGTCTTTCCCGTTGTGCGCTTCCTCCGTTCAAATTCTAAAGTTTCTTCCACTACATTCTCCCATTTCAAGTAAGCTACTTTCCCTATTATTTTGAAATTCAATTTTGTATACGCTTTTTAATTGATTTTAATTCCTGAATTTGGTCAATCAATCGTAGGAAAATGGGAAAATTGCAGATTAAAAACTGGGATTTTCTACTCATTGAACAATTACTCCAGAAATTGTAAGAAAATTAGTTTGCAATTGAATTGTTGTTCAAAAATGGGTTCTAATGGAGAATCGAAATTGGTTTGGATATGGACTGAGAATAAGCAAGTAATGACTACTGCAGTGGAAAGAGGATGGAATACCTTTATTTTTGATGTCAATTCTAAAGAGCTTGCCAAAGATTGGTCTTGTAAGTTTGCTTTAAGCTTGAACCTTTCTACATTTGCTTATTTGTATCGTAATCAGTTTATTATAAGTGCTACGACCCATTTGGTAGGCAATAATAAATGGGTGTGAGTATTATTTTGTTTGGAGAGCCTCATGCCTAATGGGTTGTTAATTATATTAGTGGCTTGCAAGTTGTAATTGTGATTATAGCTCGTTAATTTTTTGTCTGAATTTGGTTAATTTATTTAGATGTCTGTTAAAAGATTGGTTTAGGTTTTGACCACCATTTTTTTTCCTTTTGGTTTTTATGATAATGAAAGAATCAATTATCAATTGGTTGTTATTCGAAAGGATTATAATGAAACTACGTAAATTACGAATAACATGGTCTAATGATTACTTCTTGTAAAACGAGGTGAAAAAACATTTTACTCTAAGGAGGGAGTCGATATCCTCCAAGAGTTGCTGATAAAGTAAATCAACTTATATTCATCTAAATTGCCCTTATATTTGTTTGTTGTGGAATTCGAATAATGTAAGTTTCTAGTTTGGAGTATGTGGGAAATAGCATTGTACATTTGCTAGAATAAGGCTGATTTTATCTACTTATCCCAAATTTAGTAAAGCAAAACAAATCACCCTTTCTTTAATACTGTAGCTCTGTGCACAAGATTGATGTTTCTCCTTCTATGTCTCCTTTCAATATACAAGTTTCTAATGTTTGAGAATTAATTTGGGAATTTCATGCCACTGTTCACACTTTCACATACTGCTTGTTCTGTGAGAATGACGCTAGGTTGTTTATTAAATCACTGATTTAATAGGTGTTGGAAATGTTGTCTCTTCTGCTTGCACATCAATAGTTGTGTATGCACCTTGAGTTCTTGAGTATTGAATAGTTTAGTGGAAATAAAGTAATATCGTATAAAATTTTACATCAAATAGAAGACAAAAAAGTGTAGATAATTTGGGGCTATTGTCTAAAAGTCCAAATTGATTAGGAATTTAATAGAAAGATGGAAAATGCAAAAAAAAAAAAAAAAAAAAAAAAAAAATTCAAAAGAAAAGAAAAAAGAAGGAAAAAAAGAGAACAATGAGACACTGCTTTACAAAAGTAGGAATTGTGCAAAAGTTAGGCATATGGTTGTAGAAGTTTACAGAAAACTCAAGTTAATTATTTTAAAAATTAGTTATATCAATTATATGTATCTGTATAATTATGGTGTGTGATAATTATACCAAAACAGAGGGCAATCAGTAGAAAGCAACATGAGAATATCTAGATCCTCTAAAAGAAATTATTCCCCCATCATAGATTGTGATCTTAAATATTATTGTGCAACAAAGGGCAAGAGGGAAGGTAGTGGAAGCAAAGAGAATGTAGATTATAAATTGCTGTCACGGATTGAATCTTTATTATGAGTTAATGGTGGCCTGAAGGGGCAATAAGGAACAAGTATCTCATTTTTGGGTTGGGTAGATCTAGGTCTACACGTTATCATAAGACAGCCTAGGTTTTTTGCCATCTGTTATCTCATATGTTTAAGTACGAAGCCAAGTTGGTTACCGTGTTAAATCTGCTTTTGCTTGCAATTTTTCTCTATTATATCTTTTCTCACAAAGGAAACATAGTGTAGGTTTCACAATTCTGTTTGTCTTCTGACAGTTGTGATGATTGCTTTACTGTTCTAAGTCTTTCATATATATCATGCAGCAATTGCATTAATAAATCCTATGTACGCCAAAGACGGAGCTCTGTTAGACCCAGAAAATAGAAGTGTAGCTTCATTATTGGAGATATCATCTCCTCAACAGTTAGACCTAATGCTCCTCACTGATTTGTCAGAGAACACTGTCATTCATTTACTAGATTGGCAGGTATACTCACTACTACATAATGTTAATAGCTTTATATCTATAGAACATAGGTCATATGCAGTTCCAGAAGTTGGTTTACTTCCTGATTCTTTAGGAATGTTATTAGTGGGTGCGTAAGTGCGTTGTCATCAATCTTATTAGTTATTGGCATTTGTTAAAATTTAACATTGTAATGCTTTGTAAAGAGCATCTGCCTGTCTGGACTCCCACCTTTCCATTTGTTATATCAGATAATTGCAAAAGGAAATTTATTTCATCCCCTCTTTTTTAAGAATTGATAAAAATGGACAAGCAATATAAGATCTCTATTATGAAGGGTTTCTAACATATGAAGTATATTGGAATTGTGTACCCTATTGCTAGCACTTTGCTACAATGATTCTAGGATGCAATGGTTGATTACCTCTGAATTTCAGTTACTTGACTGTCTTAACTGCTTATGTTACCCTGATTGATTTTATTTTTAACCTTGCTGCTTTGCTTCTTTAGGTGATACCTGCGGAAAATATCATTGCCGCTTTCCAAGGAAATGACAAGAGAATTTTAGCTGTTGCCGAAACTTTCATAGAGGCCCAAAATTTCCTAGAGGTATTATGCCAATGTTCTACAAAGTCAATGCTTTGTCTTGCAATACTCATCCATGCCTTCAAAGTGCAAGTAAATGATACTTTCTGCTGTTTATTAAATCTACTTTTTTCTTCAAAAATAAACTTAACCCCTTTCGATTCTATTGAATGTGATTTTCAGGCACTTGAACATGGTCTTGGTGGCGTTGTCTTAAAAGTTCAGGATGTTGATCCGGTTCTCAAATTGAAGGTAAGTTTGCCAGATGTAGCTGCAAATCTGCAATGCTATTAATTGTGTATTTTGTACGCAATATCATAATTGAAGTTGTCAGGAATATCTTGACAGGAAAAATGAGGCCAGAAATTGCTTGACACTGATAAAAGCAACAATAAATCAAGTACTCATGGCTGGAATGGGGGATCGTGTTTGTGTGGATCTTTGTAGCCTTATGAAACCTGGAGAAGGACTTCTGGTCTGTTCTTATTCTTGTTCTCTTGTTTATTTATAGTTTTGCTTTACATTCATATTATGGTCTGAATTTTATCTTAGGTGGGTTCTTTTGCTCGAGGACTTTTTCTTGTGCACTCTGAATGTCTGGAGACTGATTACATTGCTAGTCGGCCTTTTAGAGTTAATGCGGTGAGTCTTGCATAATTGCTTGTGGTAGTACCTTATCAGTATTTGCAGTTTCTTGCTTTCTTATTTTTTTCAGCCATCAAACTTCATGGTTGTTAGTAACGGTAGGATGCTTGCAATTCTGTTTAAAAATGCAATCTAAGATATGCACGCTATGCGTGTACAGTATAAAAAATATACTAATAAATTATTATATGTTCTTATGAAAGTTGAAAAACCAAATGTCTAAAACTAAAAACACACTACTTGTACATACTTGGAGATAATGAAATGACCCTATGAAATTAACTTTGCAAACATTATCCTTTTGAAATGACAAACATTTTTTTGTTGCTTTCATTTTTTTGGTCTTAATGGTTGTTAGTAACGGTAGGATGCTTGCAATTCTGTTTAAAAATGCAATCTAAGATATGCACGCTATGCGTGTACAGTATAAAAAATATACTAATAAATTATTATATGTTCTTATGAAAGTTGAAAAACCAAATGTCTAAAACTAAAAATACACTACTTGTACATACTTGGAGATAATGAAATGACCCTATGAAATTAACTTTGCAAACATTATCCTTTTGAAATGACAAACATTTTTTTGTTGCTTTCATTTTTTTGGTCTTAAGATTTCATTAGTTATTTAAGACATTTATAACAATAGCTATGAAATTAGATTGATAATAAATCTAATTATTGCGTATGTAGAACGTTAGGGAAAATAAGGTAAGAGAACTTCTCTATTAACAACATATATAGTGAACTTCTCGTGCATGTGTAGGCAAGTAGGTCTAAAGTCCATCGACTAAAGAAAATACTAACTAATCATCACAATCAAGTAACTAGCTATAAGAAAAGTAAATGAAAACTGTCGCTCATTCTCATCAATTGCTTTTCAATTTTTATTCCTTGTTCATTTATTTGAGATTTCCTTTACCCCCACCCCAACCCAAAAAAAAAAAAAAAAAAATTTCCAACTATTTCAAAAACATAAGCGGAAGCATAAAATAGTAGATTAGGGGTATTAATACCTCACTTAGACCACATTCTTAAGTGACACTACTAGTTCTAAATACTGACATTTTTCTTTAAGAGGTATCAACTATCTATTAACTCATAGCGGTCCCAACTTAAGGGAATTCTTCTTAAACCAATCCCTAACTTATTATGACCAGGTACACTAGTTAAAATTGTCATCTATTAAAATTTTAGTGGTTTTTTTCTTAGAAAATTAATGTTTTAAGGTGAAGAGAACAAAGCCTAAAACAAGATATGTGGCACTATTTACTGGTCAAACTGGTTAAAAATATGTAAGGGACCGTTTGAGAAGGACTCTCCTAAAGTTTGGACCGCCATGAGTTAATCGATAGTTGGGACCTTATAAAGAACATCGGCCATAGTTGGAACTCCTGGTGTCAATTTTTTTCATGGATAAAAAGTGAACTGGTTTAAGAAAAAAGTGTATAAAATAAGTGTGTGGAAAGGTGAAAATATTGTGGGTAAAGAGGGTTAATGTAGTAAAAGGGGTTTTGCTAAATATTGAATAAAGTAAGTGTTAAAACTTTTAGAGACACACCAAAATGGAAAGTCTCAAGATCATCAAGAAGCATAGGTATTTTCTTGCGACTCTTGCAGGTTTAGATTAACAGGTCTGAACTACACCTTGATGATAGTTTAAACTTCATTTCTCAAAATATTACTTACGATGAAGGTACATATCTGAATGATCATTCCCCAATGACTGTCCATTATCCACGAAAATCCATGCAACATAAAACAATTTATCAGATATTAGCTCCATTAACTTCCTCATAGAGGGTGCATCAAACGAATAATCCAAACTGTATCTTATCCTAACAATACAATAGCCTCGTGTATTTGATATGGTATTTGTAACATAAGTGTGCACATGAATTTTTAGGGACCTGTACATGCATATGTTGCTGTCCCCGGTGGAAAGACATGCTACCTGTCTGAGCTAACAATACATGACTGTCCATTATCCACCAAAATCCATGCAACATAAAACAATCTATCAGATATTAGCTCCATTAACTTCTTCATAGAAGGTGCATCAAACAAATAATCCAAACTGTATCTTATCCTAACAATACAATGGCCTTGTGTATTTGATATGGTATTCGTAACATAAGTGTGCACATGAATTTTTAGGGACCTGTACATGCATATGTTGCTGTCCCCGGTGGAAAGACATGCTACCTGTCTGAGCTAAAAGCAGGGAAAGAGGTGCTTGTGGTTGACCAGAATGGACAGCAAAGAACTGCAATTGTTGGCCGCGTTAAGATAGAGACCAGACCATTGGTTCTAGTAGAAGCCAAGGTATGTGCTTGTCTTCCATCTGCCAAGCTTTGATCCAAGTGTCTTTGTAAGTTGTAATAGTAGTGTTTTCTCATGTCTTCTACAAAACTACTATCATAAATGTCATGCTGTATAACTGGGAAAGTGCAACAAGAAATTTTTCAAGTAACATCCTACTAAGCCTTCTCTTCTATGTTCAATAAAGTTGATTGAGTCATCGCATCTGTAAATTTTGCAAACTCATATTGAAGTTTGTGAAGCATGGAGATGAAAGGGCGGAGAAAATGGATGGCAGTTATTCTTTCCATTTTGGTGTGCAGAGGTTTTAAACAGTGTTTTACTTTTCTGTACCTTTTTCCTTCCACAAGCTCAAACACCTTTGGGGCATTCCGTAAAGTATACAGCTATCCCCTACTCCTGAACACCCTAGAAAAGAGGACAAGGGAAAATAAAGAAAAAAAAGAAACTGATGTTAGTTTTTACATCCACAAAAGGCTCTTCAAATTGTGCGCAATCCAGTTGTTACAGGCTGTGTTTAAGGAAAAAAGATAGCTTCTGGGTAAGATTGTTTACATTGCTGAATCCAGATTACGTAAGAAACTGAATTACATTGCATGCTCTATTCTCTCTGTCATGATGAGTTAGAGTATTTTGAAGTACTTTGACCATATTTATTTATCTACTTATATATGAATGTGATTGTTATCAATACGCTATTGGATTTTTCTTAATGTATAAATTTTATAAAAATCAACTTTGTACTGTGTTTTACTTGTAACCTTATGGGTAGCAAAAAATATTACTCCGTAACGATTCAAGTAGTACATTGACAAACATTTGAAGACAATACGATAAAACTAAAGAAAGAGGTGGAAGTGTAAGTTATCACCGATACAACTTTAGCCATTTCAGTGTGGCATCCGGCAGAGATTGCTGAGATAGGTGAAATTGCTATCCTTTGTCAAAAATGAGCTGTTTTGCGCTGATAAATACACTTTAATTTTTTCTTGCGCATGCTGTTTTTGCTCTAGCAGAGAGTACCAAATGATTATGTTATGCCAGAAGGGGTACTGAATAGGGAAAGCTACTGAAAGTAACATAGTGCTGATATTGTATGTTTCTGAATAGAGAATTGCTGCTGTCTTGTATTCAACAGAGCACTATGTTCACATGATAGTGATTGGTAGAAAGGAGGAATTAAAATGTCGTTGACAGAGATGATATCGACAGTTCTATCTCTTTTGAAATAGGTTGTTCATCCTAAGCACATGATGAGGTAGTTGGGGAAAACTTCCTAGGTGAATCCACCTGACACTAATTAGAAGATTAATCTGGTGACGGATTCAGTTTATTAGCTTGGTGTTGCAAATCTTGCAATCTTAATTACTCTAATATGTCTTTGATGTGCATTTGTTCAGTTAGTGTCGACATTTTTTTGTTTCTTTAGTTGGATTGTGGGTAAATAATTTTATCCCTTTCATCTAATCACTATATGTTCTCTACTCAATGCACTTCTGCTGAGGTCTATTGTTCTTGTTTGCAGGGTTCTGATCAAAGTTCTTACAGTATACTCTTACAGAATGCAGAGACAGTTGGTTTTGTTTCCCCTTATGGAGGTGCATATTCAGATACTCTTGCTCTCAATTTTCTTACTCTTTTTGTATTCGTTTTTAGAGATGGATTTATCCATGCATCACTTTACTGCAGGACATGGTTGTAAAAGAACTCCCATTCCCGTGACTTCTCTGAAAGTTGGTGATGAAGTTTTGCTCCGGGTGCAGGGTGGAGCTCGGCACACTGGCATAGAGATTCAGGAATTTATTGTAGAAAAGTAAAGATGCTGCTGATGACCACTTCGGACAGTTTTCGATCTATTGTCAGGAAATTAGTACACCTATAATGTTGTTACCTTCTATCAATCATGAGGTATATGTTATTTTGGTAAGAGCTTGTGCACCCTGCGGCCTGCACCCAGCTTGGGGTGTGTATACCACATTGTCACGTGCGTAACAGTGGTGATAGGGCGTGTTTACATCATGTATCACGAGTCAATGCGTAACAGAGGTAAAGAAATCAATAAATTGTGTGATTAAAGTTGTAAAAGATGTATTTTTTTTTCTTAATTCTTATAACATTGTAGGTTATATAATTTTTTCATAATGTGGTGGTGTTTAGATTTGATGTTATACCATGGTTGTTCGAGACAAATTTTAGATTAGGTTTTATTTCGTTTGTTTTGAGGAGTTTGATAATCAAATAACAATTCTTTCAAAAAAAAAAAAAAAAAAAATCAAATAACAATGAGGGGAATAACAAAAGAAGTATGTTAAATTAAAAAGGTAAAAATAAAGATTACAATAAAAAAAATGATTTATTTGGGTTCAAAAACGAGTGCAACAAATAAAAATATATCAAAAGTATAAAAAATGAAGAATTATTAAATGAGCAAAGTGGGAGGTTTTATAAAGTAAGAGGATTATAATTAGAAATTGAATACCAATGAATTGCCAGAATTTGATTTGAGTACCCCACAATGAATAGTCACAAGTTCGAGTCCCACTAATTAGATTTGCTTAGGAGTAGGAGATTTTCTTACGTTCCCCTTACTCTCACGTGTTGACCTGCGAAGCTGGGTTGTCTTAACCTATGAGAGGTGCCGATTCATTACGGTCCTTCATCTTACCTTTTTTTTTAAAAAAAAAAAAAAAAAACAAAGAGACCATTTGGTTGGGGGTATTCATCAAAGGGAATGGGAATCAACTGCCCTTATTTCCTTTGTTGTTTGTTAGGTCTTTTTTCCCAGTTCTTTTACCCTCTCCATTCCCCCAAATCCTTCCAAGTTGATTCCCCTCCCCTCCTAGGTATTTCCATTCCCATTCCTTAGCCACCACCACCCTCCTACCTACCCACACTACCGGAAAATTGCACCACCGCCCCTCCCCCCCATCCTTCGCCGCACCTCCCCCACCCCTCCCCTCCCGAAAAGCCCTCCCTCTCATGAAACCTTTCCCCCACCCTTCAAACCCTAGGCCTTTATGGGAAGGATTTCAGTGCGATTTTATAGGTTTTGCGGCGTTGGGGGAAGGGTTTCGGGGGAGGGGAGGGCTTTTCGTGGGGTGGGGGAGGTGCGGCAAGGGGTAGCAAGTGGTGGCTTGTTTCCATATGATGAAGGTGGGAAAGTGGAAGAAAATAGGGGGCAGCAGGTGTGGTGGTTGGGTGGTTGAAGAAGGTGGCTTGTTTTCATTTATATTTCAAAACAAACAACATACGAAGTAGTAAATTTTAGGGCTTTTTTCATTCCATTCTCTTTCTTTCCCTTTGTTCATTCCATTTCGTTTACCCCGTGCAAACCAAACGACCCCTAAACTTTTATTAATCTAATATACAAAGTATGTAGTTATAGAAGGATATTAGATACACTTGTACTTCGTATATCTCAAGCCTGTTACATATGATGAAGATTTTAGTACACGACAATGATCTCCAAAGTTAATTGTATGATTGCTAGAGTTTACAAGTGTTTTTCTTATAACAAAGAATAAATATTTGGTTAGAAGTTATTGGCTATAACATAATTACATTTATATGTATACAAATTATTACTTGATAACTGATTATGTTTCTAGTTTTAAAAAGAATACTATTATGTTCACCACTACTTGATAGTTGCATCTGTGTGCATGGCATCTTATTATATTTTTATTAACGAGAACCTACGTGGGATTTAAACTTAGCATTTGCTTGATCAATTGAGATTGGAACTTGTAGGCAGATCATGAAGCTTTACAAGCACTTCAAATCAAAGAGGCATTCACTAAGGTTTCCTCGCACTTCAATTTAGTTAACTAATTCTTTTTCTGGCTGCTTCAATAACCCAATAATTGTTGGCACCATCTCAACATTTACTGTGTGTTTCATTTGTAAATAAGTATGGTACTTTGGGACATCCAAAAATCGAAATTTGACAGCTAAAGTATGACAAAAGGAATAAAAAAGATTACATTCAAATAATTACATAGTAAATAATATCATAAAATCATGCATGGCATGGGGTTTGAACTAATAATCTCTGTATATAATAAACTTTTTAATAATCTTGACGTAGAAAGATTAGCTGCACGGTTGTTCGACGAAGAAGTTCAGTGTCAAAAGGGTTGTTTTAAGTTTTTAATAGTCATGATTTCTACTAATCGGGTTCTTAGAGTCCGATTGTTTAGTAAAATATATATTCGGAAATAGTGGCGAGCCAACAAGTCCAAGTCACATGTTGTTGGCGACAAACTTTTTAAGCCATCCGAGTTCGTTTAGGGCCCAAAAACAGCGTTTGAACATTTTTCAAATCTTATTTTTGCTTATTTTTCGTATTAGGGCTTTGTTTAGACTATTTAAATGTTTTAGCCGTCTTTTAGAGATCAGTTTTGACATTATAATAATATTCTTGAGAGTTTAACTCTTTTTTGGTGGATTTCGGTGTTTTTACAGATTTATTACTTGTAAATCTGTTTGTTCGTATTAGGCATTGCACTTGCTTTTTCTCCATTAATTCTGAGTGCGTCAAATCTCTTGTACAAAGTATATAAATTATATAAGGATATTAGATATACTTGTATATTGTCTTTGACAATTTTGACTAGGTTTACTGATATCTTCATTGGTTAGACAACTTTGATTTAGTTGATTTATATCTTTCCATGATTATTAACTACTTAATCAAGAAATTTTTTATGCTTATCCAAGTATTCATTATTGGTTGTCAATCTTGTCATTGACAAAACACGATCGAGACACATTGACAATTAATTCTCACATATCAAATGATTATATTTCCTCACATAAGATAACTTTCTTTGATACCCGGGATATTACCTTGACCATTGTCTCTTTTATCCTTTCTTCTTTTACTTGATCACTTCCTTTGATTCTTGTAAGTCCTTATTGATTCTCAACTCTTATTAGCTTGATCATCTAAACTAGTTGTTTTTCCAAGATATTCATGTAACTATGTAAGCAATGAATAGAGTCGTAACATGATTAACCATGCGTTTCATTAAATACGGAGTATAACTTATGAATATCCCTAAGCTTATCTAAAATGAGCTTACGGACTTTACTAGTCTAGAATCTAAATTATCTCAACTCATTATATTTGATCTGACCTTATTTTGTGCTTATCCAAAATTATGAACTTATTTTTAGAAATAAAATAAAATTTTAATTGCTTTACAAAAAATTTAGTTGCTTTAAGTACTTATACTTTGTTTCCCTACACTATTCAAAACTCATTCGCTACTTCATCTTTGATAATCTGATCTTATTGGCTGTAAACTTAATTTTTTTGCTTACGAACATCATCATCATTATTTAATAATTCATCTTTGACCGACTTATACATCATAATCCCAAATTTTAATTATTATTTGAACCAAAATTTAGGGTATTTGGTTTCTTTAAGCCATAAAATTAAGGTGTGGGGCCACATGCAAGACCATTGACGATGAAAAGTCATACAGGTCTTGTGAGCTTGGATCCAACGTAGTAATACAGTCAACTAAAGTGGCGTAGTTTTAGGATAAGACTGCATTGTTATCAATTTTAGTTACAACACCTCACTGACTTTGTTAAAGATTAGCTTAGCTTAATAAGTTGGAGATAAATGTATGAATGGTGTTTTAGTATGTTTGACGTGTTATGGCCTTTATCTTCAATTAATTATGTTCAAGGTTCAAGGTTCAAATACAAAGTTTTTACCTTTTAATTTTTGATCTGGAATCATGTTATTCATTGTCAAATAGTACCGAGAATTAAAATTTGGAGCTTATATAGAAAGAGCATGTGTCCATGTGTAATATTATATTTTTAAGACCATATATAAATAAAGTTATTGATTATAATGAGAATATTTGTATACGCTGCTTAATTCTTAAACCTAAGAATCATGTCGGTTAAATTTTTTTAAGTAAATTAAATTGTATTTTATAATTATACAATTGTTTCAAGGTGTGATTCATTTTTTTATTTTGAAAATTTAAGAATATTTATAGTGATGATACGAATCATGAATATAAAATCACCAATGATTTGAAATATAGGTCAATAATTGGTATCTTTTAAAATATTTTAATCTACACAACTTCAAATAACGTAAATAGCTTGGACTATTTTAGTCAACCAACCCATCCAACCATTTCGACAGATCTACTCATATTTCATAATCATCCATCACATTAATCCAATTCTAATGCGGGCAAAAAGATAATTTCTTTCTATATAACTCAAATTTATCCATAAGTTAACTATCTTTTTTATCCTTGATCATCTTTATCTTACCTTTACTTTTAATAGGTTTTATCTTTCAAAAGAAAGAGCCAGAATAAATTACGGAGTATAAATCCAACAAAAAAATATTCCTAAGTGGGACCTATATATTCTATTAAACCTCCCAATTTTATATCTCAAATAAACCTTTAACCCCATAAAAGCAAAAAAATAAAATTCTTAAACGTCAATTCTTCAAACTTGAAGCCTCAAAATGGCTATGAACTCTCATTTCATTATTTTGTGTTTAACTCTGTTTTCTTTGAGTTTAATTAGTTCAATTACTGCAACAAATCCTGAAGTTTCTCATATTTTAAATCACCAACATCGAAAAAATCACTCAAAAAGTAAGCCTGAAATTGGGGTTTATGAGTTGAAGAAGGGAAATATTTCTATTAAGGTCACTAATTATGGTGCTACTATTATGTCCGTCATTCTTCCTGATAAAAATGGTAATTTTCTCATTTTTAGCTTCATTTATTTTTGATTTCATGAAATTTTTATTGGGGTTTCAAGAAGTGCTTTTTCTTTCTTGTTTGGGTATGCATTGTTTTGGGTTTTATTAGTTTTCTCGTGTATGGGAGAGTCGTAAAGGACAATGATGTACACGATATTTAATGATCCCAATCCTTCGTGAATTTGGTTGGGTTTTCATGAATTTAGTTGGGTTTTTTAAAGTCTATTTCAACTTGCATTGTGAGAGTTTCATTTGTTTTACAATTGTTCTTTATGTGGTATAATTTCTATATTTGGTTGCGAAATTTATGTAGTGTTGCCGTATTGGTAGGAAGCGAAGGAAATTTTGGTATCTGTATTTGTTTTCTTGATTTACTAGTTGCAATGGTATCCTGGTTCTCCACCTTGACAAATACAGAAAATAATCAATGAATAAAAAAAAAAATGAAGATGGGATTAAATGAGTGGGTGGTGGCATTTGAAAATATAAGTATTACTCTCTCCGTCTTTAAAGATTTA